AAAAACTGTGGTACATCTACACAATGGAATACTATGCTGCTGTAAAAAAGAAGTTCTTAGCATTTGCAACAGAATGGATGGAAGTGGAGAGCATTATGGTAAGCAAAATAAGGCAGTAGGAGAAAGATAAATACCACATGATCTCACTCATTTGTGTAATATAGTAAACAACATAGGCTGATAAAAGGGGATAGATCCAGAGACAGAGAAGCAGTGATAAGACTGTCAAACCTCAGAGGGAAAGTAGGGGAGAGTGGGGGTAAGGGGGCAAGATCAACCAAAGGACTTGTATGCATGCATATAAGCTTAACTAATGGACACAGACAACGGGGGTGAGGGCATGAGTTGGGGAGGTTGGGGGGTTATGGTGGGATAAGGACACATAAGTAATACCTTAATCAATAAAGAGATTTAAAAAATTTTTTTTATGGTTTCCTGTCATCCTTCCTTGCCTCCATTGTCAAATATTAATTGAGTATAATGGCTTGGGTCGATTTCTGGGTTCTCTGTTATGTTCCATTGGTCTGTATGCCTGTTCTTGTGCCAGTAGTAGGCAGTTTTGAGAAGAGTGGCTTTGTAATATAGCTTGATATCTGGTATTGTGATCCCTCCAACTTTGTTCTTCTTTCTCAGGATTGCTTTGGCTATTTGGGGTCTTTTTTTATTCCATGTGAATTTTTGGAGGGTTTGTTGTAGCTCTGTGACATATGATGTTGGTATTTTAATGGGTATTGCATTGAATCTGTAGATTGCTTTGGGTAAGTATGGACATTTTAATGATGTTGATTCTACTAGTCAATGAACATGGTATATTCTTCTATTTATGTCTTCCTCTATCTCTTTTTTTCAACATCCTGTAGTTTTCCGAGTACAGGTCTTTTACCTCCTTAGTTAAGTTTATTCCTAGATATCTTTTTTTTTTTAAAAAATATGTTTTTATTGATTTCAGAGAGGAAGGGAGAGGGAGACAGAGATAGAAACATCAATGAGAGAGAATCATTGATCGGCTGCCTCCTGCACGCCCCCTGCTGGGGATCGAGCCTGCAACCCAGGCATATGCCCTTGACCAGAATCGAACCCGCAACCCTTCAGTCCGCAGGCCGACGCTCTATCCTCTGAGCCAAGCCGGCTAGGGCTATTCCTAGATATCTTAATTTTTTTGTTGCAATGGTAAATGGGATTTTTTTTTAGTTTTTCTTTCTCTGAGTTCATTATTGGTATATGAAAAAGCCATGGATTTCTGGGTGTTAATTTTGTATCCTGCTACATTGCCAAATTCATTTATTAAGTCTAGTAGTTTTTTTATAAAGTCTTTAGGGTTTTCTATGTACAATATCATGTCATCTGTGAATAATGAGTTTTACTTCTTTTCCAATTTGGATGCCTTTTATTTCTTCTTGTCTGAACGCTATGGCTAGTGTCCCCATCTCCCATTTATTTATTAATAAAAAAAGTTCCGTCATTTTAATGTATGTACATTTGTGCTTTATATTTTTTATTATTTATTTACCACAAGTAAAGGTCATGAATTGTTATCTTTCTTTTAAATTTTTTTTTACTGTTTCACTTCATTACTGCTGTGTGTGTGCTCCATGTGAGTGATGTAAGTGGGTTCTGATTTACAGCGAAAATCGCGCTATGTCGCGCCGTAGGAACGGATCTCCAACATAACCCGAGGACCTACTGTACTATGTTGAACAGGAGTGGTGAAAGTGGGCATCCCTGTCTTGTTCCTGTTCTTAGGCGAAATGGTTTTAGTTTTTGCCCATCGAGTATGATGTTGGCTGTAGGTTTGTCATATAAGGCTTTTATTATATTGAGGTATGATGCCTCTATATTGTCAGTCATTTAAAGTGCTGGCTAATAAAGTTAAAAAGAAAAAAGTGCTGGTTACAGCTTTGGAAATGGTTCCCACAGCTGTTTGAAAACCATTCATAGTGGGTGAGAGTTCAGGGTCTTGAGGAGTGAGCCAGTTTCAATCCTGACTTGGCCACTTCTCAGCCAAGTAATCCTGGCAGGGCCATGGAAGCTCTCTAAGCCCTGGTTTCCTCATCCTCATTGGTAATGCCTGCCTCCCAGACTGGTTGTAAAGTGAATGAGATGAGTGTGTGTGTACTCTGGGAAATGATCTTTTCACTGCTACTGCTGTGACAGTGGCCAGGGTGTGTTTGGGGCAATGGGAGCGGGGTGAACAAAGCCTGTCACAGGAAGCCTGAGGGTAATGCTCCTAATTGAGAACTGAAGGATGAGTAGGACTCTTGTGACTTCTGTAATCAGGAAAGGAGAACCCAGAAATACTGGCAGGCAGGCTGGTGTTGCTGGTGACCACCATATTAACGAACACAAATATAGAACATTTCCATCTTTGCAGAAAGTTTTATTGGATAGTGCTTCATTAAACCCTGTAAAAGTCTTGTGAAGGAAGTACATAGGGCATGGATTTTCCTTTTATTTTTTTAATTTTGTAATTATTATTTTTAAAATTCTTACTGGAGGATAAGATTTTAGATTTTAGAGGGAAAGGGAGAGAGAGAAACATCGGTGTGAGAGAGAACGATTGGTTGCCTTCATATATGTCCAGGAATCGAACACACAACCTAAGTATGTGCCCTGATTGGGAATCGAACACCAAACCTTTCAGTATACAGGATGAGGCTCCAACCAACTGAGCCATACTGACCAGGGCAGAATTTTCCTTGTAAATTGTATTCATTGTTTCAACATTATTCCAAAAATTAAAACTAATGATTCCTTCACTTTAACAGCAACTATTTACATTTTCCTATGGCCTCTTTTGATCTTTAGCCAAAGAAATCACAGTTTCTACATTGTTGCAATCACAGTGTTTATATAATTGTTTTATTTTTTCTTCTCTTTTTTTGTGATACAGTTTTTTATTTGGGAGGGACATATTTGTATTTTTATATGCTTTATATCTTTATTGGGGTGACACTGGTTAACAAAATTTATAGGTTTCAAGTGCATAGTTCCACAACACATCATCTTAAACTGTATTGTGTGTTCATTCCAAGTCAAGTCTCCTTCCATC